TATGAGTTAATTATAGGATTGTATGATGTGTGGAAGTGTGGAACTGAGTTGGAAAACCCTTGGAATGCATGCACACTAAATTCGGCCATGTAGGGAAAGTAAGGAAAATATGTTGTAAAAATCATGTAAGTGGTGTTATGAATTATGTTTAAATAGGCTGTATGTTGGTTTGATGCATGTGGATTGGAGCTGGAACCATTGAATATGTCTAAGTGTGGATATTGGCCTAAAGGAGGATAATTGGGAAAAATGATGTTGAATGGTAATGGAATGAAATTAAGGAATTGGTTTGGTGTTGTGGTAAGCTGATGCTCAACGGCAAGTATACCGATGGCACAAGTAATATAGAAAGTAAGTAGAGTATCATCTCCATAGGGATTGTAAACCAAGTACTACAATAACCAGTCCCCTTAAGTTGGAAAACTCGGTTTGTTGTTTAGAAAAATTGCGAATTGATTTTGAGTAACAATAAGAAATAAAAGTAAAGACTTGTTTTTGAATTTTTATTTAAGAGAAATAAAACAATAACAATGACAATTGATTTTAAAAATATGAGAAAGACAATGTAGCTAGAGCGCACTCACCTTAAGATCCCCACTTCTTACTTTAGATTGATTCACAATATTTATTCATATAATTACTCGAATAAATTATTATCTAAGAATATTTATTAGTTAACCCTCAATTCCTTGCAAAGTTAACCCTTTAATCCCCAATTGGAACCCCAATTCCTTGCAATGTTCCTCATGGTATTAAGCAATGAACGCAATAATTTAAGCATTCGCAATTAAATACACATCTATTCCTAGCATGCATACCAATTGTTATCCTACCCCCTTTCAAGATCAAAACCCCAATATTCCTATCTAGGGTTCTAACCCTCAAACTATTCTCAACTATCAGATTGATCAGTTCTAATAAAGGAAATAGAAAATACGCACAGGGTAGAGACAAGATAATTATATAAATGAGTAAAACTAAATTAATCTATCGTAACAAGGGTTCACATAGGGCTCGTGACCCTAACTACAATAAAAGATAACTAGCCAAGCATAATCATGGCTAAAAATCCAATATTCAATGGAAGCATAAAATTAAAGTTAAATAGATGAAGAAGAAGAACTGTGGAAGAATCCTCCTGAGCTCTGTCGTCGGCCTCCTTCTGAATGTAATGAGATATCTAGGGTTCTGTCAAGAGGATATATTTATAAGCCTCTTTTATCCTTCCAAATATACCCTTTCGAAAACACGGTACTTCTTTCCCGTAAACCGGCGCCAGTTGGCGCCGGTGTGGCGCACGTTTGCACGGAGTTACTGTCAAATTGTGAAAAATCAGAACCAATTGTACGTGAACTGGCGCAAGTTGGCGCCATCCTTCTTCTTTCTTGGCGCCATTCCTCCTACTTTTTGGGCGCACAATGGCGCCATGATGCCTTCACTTTGGGCGCCCTTTGGCGCCATGATGTTGGTGATGAATGTGGCGCCAGTTGGCGCCATTTTGGTGCCACTGAGCGCCACTCAAAAACCTCCGCTGCAAAGTTCGCAATCCGACACCAGTTGGCACTGGTGTGGCGCCAGTCTGAGCCATTCTACTGGCATTTGTACTGTGATACATCCGTGTGGAGTTGCATTAAGAAGATTTTTATAATTTGTAATTTTCACTCCTCTTTTTCCTGTAAAAACACAACAAAAGGTGAATATTATTGACATAGAAAGAATCACTATAAATAGCAAATATTTATTTAAATTGCTCTCTTATGACTCAATTTTTATCAATTTTAACACAGAAAAACCACACTTTCCAGAGGCACATCATAAGCTTAGGAAGCTATTAAAACCTTGAAATAAAATTAAAAACATGGCTTGGTATTTTAGGCCAATTGGCCGAACCTGTGTGTGTGTGGGGGGGGGAGGGTGTGGTGCTTTGTATTTTGAGTTGGTTGCACCATTGTGTTGATGATCCTTGTGTGATCATTGTAGGTTGCCTCCCACGAACATGAGCTTTGAACGGTGAGCTTGGTGGATTGCCCTTGGTCCTTAACCAAAAGGATTGTGGCATTTCTGGTTGGACCAAGACCCGTGGTACCTTGCATTGGAGTTACTTAGAGAGGGAGCTTCAACAACGTAATCCTTTGATACTGGGGTTAATATCTGTTTGTGCTCCACCATACCCTTGGGGGTAGTGGTTGGAGGTATATGTTAATAGTGTAATTATGACATGCTCATGCATAAGTATATATACATTGGGTACATAGGATGTACCGTGTCTCTGGCCAGTAGATAGTTGCCTTCGGGCGTTACAGACTTCCACTGGATAGGTCTCCATGAGGGAGTTCTAGTTGACCTGGGGTCATGGAGTTGTTATCCGTTGAGGAGCACTCTAGGAAAGTCTCGAGTGTATTGGTGGTGGGTGCATTGGTTGATGTTCTGGGAACACTTCCTTGGATGAGAACCCGTAGGCTATATGCCGAGGCCAATAGGCCGGATGTTGCGTGACTTTGGCATTGACCATTCCAACTTCATCATATTTTTACTCCATATGCATCCCTACTTCATTAAATCCCTTGCTTTATCCCTCTTTGGTTGTTATAGTACATTGTTGATTTACATCTGAGTGAGCCATTGGACGAAGTAATCTGCAGAACCTTTGGGTTACTGAGATATATTCGTATATCTCACCCCGTGTTGGGGTATTTATTTCAGGTAGTAACAGTGGGGTTGGAGCCATGAGCAGGAGGGTCATAGGATGAGCACTTGGAGATTGGAGGACCTTTTTGCATTTTGAGGCCATTTTGGCATAGACTAGACTTAGGGCATGAACGTCTGCAGGAAGCCATGATAAGGAAAAGAAATATATAATAACACAAGATCAGAAAATCAATAGACAAATAAAAACATAATAGAAAAAAAAAGTTGAAAAATCAGAATTGAAATTCGTAGGAATTTTTTTTCCCAAAACCTATGAAACCTACACACTAAACCATGTACATTGATCAAAATCTAACCTAAACATGCATCAAACCGAAGGATCAATGAAAAAAAATGACCCAATCGAACCAAACCACTTTCAATGTATCTAGGGTTCATGAATAAAAAAAAATCAAAAAATATTTGGAGGAAATTGAACAATACATACCAATATGAGAGGGTATACGCTTTGATGTTTATGTTTGAACCCACAACGCTATTTAGGGCAAAAATCCAAAGAGAGGAGCTTTTGGGAGTTCTTAATCGATTATGATTGTTTTAAATAATCCCTACCCACAAATGGAGTTTTTTAAAAACAACTATGGAGTTATTTAATCGATTAAACATTGTGGCTTAATCGATTAAATCACGAGTTTCCTAATTATTGTATTTTTTTCACTGTTTAATCGATTAAAATCGAGATTTAATCGATTAAATAAGAACAGATGTGTAAAATATTTATGAAAAGAAACAAAATAATTATTATTTAATTGTTAGAGATCAAAAAGCATAGAACTAATATCATAGACACCAATTATTTATGCGCCGGTCTATTTACACAATTACACCTACCAGCCCTTAAAGTCTTCGACTCGAGATCTGCAAGATTGATAAAAAGTTAAGATAAGATTTTTTAATCTTTGAAGACCGAATGGCTTACGCTACTTTTTACTAAAAAATAAAAATAAAAATGGCATATGCTACTTGTCGCTATTATCAATGTTATCTGCTGCTTTTTCCAAAAGTTAATTAAATATCAACTGGTTTCCTTTATATTTATGAAAAAATATAGGGTAATATTACTCTCATGTAACATGAGAGTAGTTCTCTCATGTTACAGAGAGAATCCAAGTAGGACCTGCTATTTAAAAAAAGAAAAAAAAGGGGCACTATTTTCGAAGTGAGAGAAAATGAGATAATTACCTCATGTAAAATGAGAGTAGTATTTCCCAAAAATATACTCTTACTTTGTTGGAAATTATTTTTATTTTCTATATATATATATATATCGATTTTTATATTTTATATTTTATAAATTGGTGAATCCCACACATGGGCTTCTTTTTATTATATGAGATTAATAAAGTTCTATATTTATATGCTTTTTATTTTAAATTATAACGAATTTTATTTAAGTTTCTACATATTTATATTCTAATTATACTATATGTAAAAATTTCGAGCTCCCTATATTACCAGAAATTTGTTAAAAATGTAGTTAGACAGACCTGATTATAAATTTCTCAATTTCATGAATAATTAAAAGGATTTGATAATTAATATTGTTTTTTACGCAAAAATATTATTACATTAAATATTTATCTAAAAAAATAACAGTTCATTTAACTATCTTACATTTATTACTTTATTAATGTTGTATCGTTCTACTGGATAAAAATATTAATCGACAAGAATATATTAATAAAGAAAATCATTATTACTTGATTAATGTTTTCAAATGACTAATTTCATATAAACAAAAATATGTAAATTAAAAATTACTTTAAAATAAAAAATTATACAAAAAATATTAAAACATTTATAATTTTCTTCTCTAAAGAGTTAATTGTGAATACTAAATGATCACTAATCACAAATATATATGGCTTAAAAAAACTTTTACATGAACTTGGTGGGTGGCTGGGTGCACAAAAATACTAAAATGTGCTATGTTAATTATCTTTAAATGTTTACATAAATATCGATGTCACATAGATATTTGTTTCCTTTTAAGTTAAAATATTATTAATATTTTTTATTGAATATTTTTATTTTAACTAATTAAAAGGAGATTCTTTCCCTATTTTTGTACGGAGTTTGTATTTGTCATTTAACATGACACAACAAACTTTCCTACACATTCAATATTTTGTGAAACCCACACATTTTAAAAAAAAAGAAAAAGAAAAAATTAGGACACGCAAATCAAATCTCTATAGCATTACAGAATCACTTTTCCTCAAATATAAGTCTTATAAAACCTTACGTATGTATGCAATTAGAACAAACAAGCTTGAATGCATTCAGTTAGAGAAGAGAACACCACACACAGAGAAAGGTGAAAAAATGGAGAAGGAAAAGAAAAACTATGTAGCTCACTGTTTGGTCCTACCTTATCCTGCCCAAGGTCACATAAATCCTATGCTTCAATTCTCCAAGCGTTTGGTTGAAAGAGGAGTAAAGGTGACACTGATAACTGTTATTTCCAATTGGAAGACTATTACCAACAAAAATCTCAGATCCATTGAAGTTGAAAGCATCTCAGATGGCTATGATGATGGAGGACTTGAAGCAGCAGAGAGCCTTGAAGTTTACAAAGATACCTTTTGGAGAGTTGGACCACAAACTCTATCCGAGCTTCTTCAAAAGCTTGCATGTTCTAACAACCCTGCAGATTGTGTTATCTATGATGCTTTCTTGCCTTGGTCTCTTGATGTTGCTAAGAAATTTGGACTCCTTGGTGCTGCCTTCTTCACTCAATCTTGTTCTGTTAACAACATATACTTCCATGCTTATAAAAAGTTTGTTGAGTTACCTCTTTCAAGGACAGAGTTTTTGCTACCAGGATTGCCAAAACTTGCATCTGGGGACTTGCCATCATTCTTGTATAAATATGGATCCTACCCAGGTTACTTTGACATAATTTTGAATCAATTTTCCAACATTGATAAAGCAGATTGGGTTCTTGCAAACACATTTTATGAACTGGAAAAAGAGGTAAGTAACTTGAATAGCTGAAAATTTCCATTGATTAATTTTATTTGTTCTTATCCACTGCAATGTATTGTTACTTTTTCTTTTTTGTGCTATTTATTATTGAAACTTGAGGATGAACCTGGTTGTGACTAAAAGGTCACATGTTCAAACTCAATAGCATCCTTGCAAACATGCAAGGGTAGAGATACATACAAGAATTTCCCTTAACACTATTCTCGTAGGTCGGGATTTAATGAGAAGTGATTTTATTGATTATTGAAATCTGAAATGAAATTCCATTTAGGTTGTTGATTGGTTGGGGAAGATTTGGCCATTAAAGCCAATAGGACCATCTGTACCATCTATGTTCTTGGACAAAAGACTCCAAGATGACAATGAATATGGTGTTAGCATGTTCGATCCAAATATAGAAGCATGCATCAAATGGCTTGATGAAAAGCCGAAAGATTCAGTTGTGTATGTCTCTTTTGGGAGCATGGCAGGTCTTAGTGAGGAGCAAACAGAGGAACTAGCTTGTGGTTTGAGAGATAGTGGGAGTTATTTCATGTGGGTGGTTAGAGCTTGTGAACAGGATAAGCTTCCAAAGGAATTTCTCGAGACATCAGAGAAGAGTTTAATAGTCACATGGTGTCCCCAACTACAAGTCTTAACACATGAGGCTGTGGGGTGTTTTCTCACACATTGTGGTTGGAACTCCACATTGGAAGCTGTGAGCTTAGGTGTTCCAATGATTGCAATGCCACTTTGGACTGATCAAATCACAAATGCAAAGCATATTGCAGATGCATGGAAAATGGGAATCAAAGCTGTTGCTGATGAGAAAGAGATAGTTAGAAGAGGAACAATTAAACACTGCATAAAGGAAATGATGGAGACCGAAAAAGGAAATGAAATAAAGAACAATGCCATCAAATGGAAGAATGTGGCCAAGAATTCTATTGATGAGGGAGGAAGTTCTGATAAAAATATTGAAGACTTTGTAGCTAAATTGGCTCATTGCTGAGTTGCATTTTTTTTTTTTTTTTGATGAAGGAGAAAGTTATCATGAAGTAGTGTGCTGCTGCCAAATTTTAATATAATAATTCTGCTCAGAATAGTTATTATTGGCTTTTTTTTTGTTAGTACAATATGTTGGCTGCTTTGAAGGTTACAAGAAAGTGAGGTTGTCAATTTAAATTATTGTGAGAATTTGTGGGCTTCTGAATTGGCATGTCTTTTAATATTTCTCTGGTAAGTAGTGTATGTTGAATTTGCTCGGTCACAAGTTTTATGCTGACAGTTAGAATACTCTGTAAATAAGAAAAATAAATGACTTGACCTTCAGTTATGTTATGTTAGAGTCCCCACTATGCTATTCTCTCTCTTTTTCTTCTTTCCTCGATGTTCTACGTTTGAGTTACGTAATAGAGATATAATATAAAAGTATCAATCTGTTTTCAGTTTACGTTTAAGTTTTTGAATTGAATTGTGTTCGGGTCCCGTATTGCTATACCGTATGGTATGTGCTCAGAGATACTGTATAAATTGATGTATACTTGACTTATAGCTGATGTCCCAATCACTGCGCACAAGCAATAGGATTATAGGCAAGATATGAGTGTGTGCACAGTGTTGGCAGTATTAGTAAATAGGTTAAAAGTGTGTACCTGTGGTCCTTAGGCTCTTATTTATAAGAATTACCTTTCTAGGCCTGGGCCTTTTGTGATCTCCCAGATTGCATTAGGATTCGGCTCCCTTTCTATTGGGATGAGATCCTTATCTTAAGCTCTTTGACTGCCTAATGTTGTTGAGATACTTATGTATCTATCTCTTAGTAGATTCTTAGGTGAGTAATTGGGATATGATATTCATATCCATAACAAATTGATTTTTTTACATGATATCATATGTTATATGTCAAAGTGGTTTATTGTGAAATTTGTTAGAATAGGTAGAAGGACGTATGTATTGTCCACCTTTCTAACTTTGAATTAAGATTTTGATTTTTAGGACCCTAGCTCACCACAATATCCTTTACTAACTTTACCACAGACAAGTGAAACTTTCCTCAATATGTGGCTCATCTGTACCAATAATTTTTGATGGTGAAAGTGTCTAAACTTCCTCCTTTGAAAGCATATAGTTATGGCATGTGGTTGACTTTGCACAAACATAAACAGAGGGAGGAAGCTATATGAGAAAGGGAGAGGCAGAGAGTGAGAAGTAACCAGTGAATAGTGGCCCACCCTATATGTTCCTTTTTTTGTGGGCAGTAATAAAAGCTGTATCTCCTTTCTGAGTACGAATGGTTGGACCTGGAAAGTTATGTTTAAAGTCTATATGCTTTTCGTGGTGCACAACTTGGTGAAATTCTTTTCCTTCAGCTACAATAACATCCCACAACTAAATATCATATGTTCCTATTTTGTTCACTTCAAAACAAAACACAAAGCCACTTTGAGTAATTGAACGAGTGAGAGTTGGAATAAAGTTATCAAATCTAAAGTTATTTTTGTTATTAGAATATCGAAGATGGTAATGTACTAATGTTTACTAATGAATAAGAAAACACAGGCAATGAAAATATTCTCCATGTTAATAAATTCAATATCGATATTATAAATAAATATTCTCCGCTCCTTTGGTGGGAAGGATTATGATATTTGATCACAATCAATGATGGAGCGAGGGAGGGCGGCTGCACCCTTTACTTTTATACAAACTTTTAGTCATGAGCGTCATTTGTGTTATTTTTGGTTATATAAACAGTGATCACCTCTTTCAAATTCTAATAAATCTTTAGTTAAAAATATCATTTATATTATTTTTATTGTTATAATTTACAAAGAATACTATACTTGTAATTTCGTCCCTCTCCACAATTTTTTATTTATTTTTTAACTCTCTGCCATGATTCACAATAAAATACTTGATGTTCCCGGGCCCTTGCAAATAACCAAGGGACTCCAAAATGACTAGTAAGAGACTGTAATTCTCCAAGGGCTCCATTATATCCTAGTAATAATGGCAGTAATTAACTAGAAGTTTAACCGTGTTCTTTTACTTGTTTGGCATTCAGGTGGCCACAAATCCAGCTTATATTTAGGGCAGTTCATGAACCATAGCAGTTCTCGATGGTCTTTCTCGCTCTTTAGTACAAAAATTACACATACTTTTGGCAGTTCTGTAAATATCATTTGAAAATGTTAATTCTTTACCATAAGGGGATATGATTTCTGTCTCCGCCGCATAGATAAATTGATAGAGAGAGAAAGTATAGAGAAACGAGGGAGATAACTGAGAGAGAGAAATGGGAATAGGGTCGCTCCTTTTATTTAGGGTTGGCAAAAACAAGCCAACCCGTCGAGTTGGCTCGTAACTCATAAAAAATGAACCGAGTTGGATTGGTAAAAATGAGATGCCACCTCGACCCGAGCCAGCTCGTGAAAAAACAAGTCAACCCGCAGGTCAAACGAGCCAGTTCGCGGGTTGAGTTTTTTTTTATATAAAAAATACTAAATATAATATACAAAAATGAACAAAACTCACATATGTTGTCATCATTTTTCTTCCTTCTCTAAACCTAAGTTCCTAATCTTCTCACATCCCTGTCATTTTTATATTGTTAGGCTGAGCCGACTCTGTTTGGTTCAAATATCTTACTCACTTGGTAACAAGTGGTTCTGATTGTTTCTTGATGTTGAAGCAAATTTGTTGTGAAGAAAATTCAAAACTAAAATATTTTACTTTTTTATCCAAAAAAAAATATATTTTACTTTTATTTCTCATTTTGTAACCCTTTCTTTAAGCTGATGGAAGTCATATAGCTGATGCATTAATATTACAGGGTCATTTAAATAGGCTGAAAACGAGCCAACCCGCGAGCCATTTTTTGAGTCAACTCGCTAGCTATTCTTTAAGCCAACCCACGAGCCATATTTTTTAGCCAACCCTAACCCGACTCGGGTCGGGTCGTGTTGGATTTTCTGACTCATTTTTTTTTTGGAACCAACCCTAACCCTTGCTTGATTCTTTCAGATTGAATGCGGGTTGGGCCGAATCGGGTCGGGTTGTCCCATTTTGTCAACCCTACTTTTATTTATGAGGAGATAAATTTTTATGTTTTTAAAGTAGAAATCATTTCCCGTTATGATAATATAGTGTACTTGCCAAAAGGAGGGTGATTAATGTTTGTTCAGTGAGATATAAATTTTACTTTATATTTGTTAATATTATTTTTTTGGAAATATTTTTCTTATGTTGTAGGAAAATAATTATCTTATGTTGTAAAAATAAAATAATAAGTGAGACCCACAAATATAAGGAGAGAGAAAAAAAAGATGGGATCCACTCCTCTTTTGTGTGTATAAAAATTTATTTCTCTTATATAAAATTAGATAAATATAACCCTTATTTTTTTTTTTTTTTTTTTGATAACAACCCTTATTTTTTTTACTTGAACAATAAATACAAATGAGAATTAAAGGCCTGTAGTAAAAATAATACATTAGTTAAAAGTATTAAGCACATTGACCAAAACACGCTGAATTAAGAAAAAGGAGGAAAAAAACATTTGCATTCTACGGCTTGTGGAAAGTTATCCCAAACGACGTAGGTAGCCCCCCTTTTTTTTAAATTTAAAAAAAAAAAAGTTAATTCAAACTAGGTCACATAATGCAATCTGATATAATTTAAAAAATAAAATAAAAATGAGAGGCGTCCTCTCTCAGTCGATACATATGGTGGAACAGTGACCAATGTATCCCAAATTGGTCACTTTTTTATTAATGTGTCATGCGAACAATATTATTTTTCAATATGTCACGTGTTTAACTTTGCTATAACAGGTAGCAAATTTGATTTGTTGATGTGACGTGTTCTGCTAGCAACCTAGTTCACTACTCGATGCAGCGAACTAGGTGGCAATTAATTCATTTACTCAGCAAAATTCACATCAAAGACTTACTTATTTCAAAGCTAGTGTAAACTAGTAATCTCACTTGTACTTCTTTTATAATTTCAAAATTTGTTAATGAGAGTTGTTATAGAGCTCACAAGGGGATTAACCCCAGGACAATAAGTTTACCTCTTTGAAGCTTCCACTATAGATAGCTTCAACCACAAATTACTTCCTCCACAAGTAAGCTCACAAAATAGCTTTACGCAAGATACTATACAAGGATTATCGTATCAATCAATAATTGATTTTAATGGTTCCCAAACCATATAACACACATTTAAATGCAAGTTATAAAACTTACCAAATCCTTGGATTCAAGGACCAAGGCTTCTAATGTGAAGCTCCAAAGCTTAATCCTCTAAAATAGGATCCAAAGATTTTAACCTACATGATCATGCATATTTAAGATCAACTTCATGCTTGATAACACAAGCTAAACAACATGAAATCATCTTCCTATTTCTCACCCTATGCCTCGGCCATAAGGCCCTAAAATGGTCACCTTTGCTTCTAAATTACAACCAACCATCCTTATGGCTTCATTGATTTTCCATAACACCATGACCCACCACCATTACCTTAACAATTTACATAATATTTTCCCATAATTTTACCCTATATGACAGAGGAGCACAACCACACAAGCCAATGGAATTTTCATTCAATTATCATGTTTCTAGTCTTCATTTAAGACACCATTAAAGTCTTCCACCAACCACCACTTTATCCATCATTGAAGCATTCAATTCCTTCACAATATACACATTTTTTCCATTCAAAATTTTCGCCTAAGTGTCAAACCTATAGCCTTAAATTTGTATTTGATTTTCATCATTAAGACACCAATACAAGCAATAAATACCAAAGGGACATAGCCATATAATGCCTCCAACAACACCTGTCAATCAACACATATTCAAAAACTATACCCATTTTGTTATCAAAAAAAAAAAAAAAACTATACCCATTTTCAATCCATCATAAAACTCAAGGAGAAGTTGAAATGCTTACCACCAATGAGTTTCAAGGGTCCAAGGGAGTGATTTACAAGTTTTAGATGACCCATGTAAGAACCCGCACCGTTAATTAAGGAAGTTAATTAATTAATTATGAGAAATTAGGAAATAATTCCATAATTGACCCTAATAATTATGAGAAGGCTTGTATAATGATGGTAAGTAATTATTAATGCTGGAAAGCGCAGATACCGATTCTGCTCCTCGGTATAAATGCGTACCGATAAAGTATCCCGAAAAATTATAATAAGTGCATGAATATTCCTAGAATATTATGGAGG